TAGGTCGTAATCTTCAGGAGATCACGAGGAACAAGGGAAATGGAAATATTGTGATCGCGAATAGATACGCCAATCTGGAGGAGATTCTCCCTCTAAGTGTGGACCAATCAGTTAATCGATTGAAGGAAGATAAGGAAAATGAGGATCTCGAAAATAACAGAAGAAGGGAGAAGACTATAACCCAAGAAAAGAATGTTAGTTTCGTGACTGGATTGAAAAATGGGCCTAAAGAGAAGTGGGCCAGCAATAGAAAGCCCATGGGAATAAATAAAATCAAGCAGAACCAAATCCCAAGTAGGCCCACGAGGGGTTTGGTGTTTGGCCCGACGAAAGGAGAGATGAATCTATCAGCGTCGGCGAAACGACTCCGGGTGGAGAGAGAGGGTTCCGGGAGACCTGGAGGAGCCTTCGCGAATGGCGGGGAAGGAGAGAAAGAAATTGGTGAGCAGCTACGGTTACGAGATGAGGATATGGAGAGTCCACTATATGTATTGAGAACCGAGGCCCTAGCGGAACAGGACAGTATGCATCGAGAAGGGTTAACTGAACAGCCGGATAGTGGCATGTTTCCATCGGAGGAGGTGGGATCGGAGAGTACATGACAGGGGGCCCCGATGTTCCAATGGAGTTTTAGCTATGAAGATTCAATGAATTGTCTTTTGTGGAATTGCCGGGGGGCGAATAAACCCAACTTTCGAAGATCTATCCGATATATGTTAAAGAAATGGAAGACCGATGTTCTAGCCATATTCGAGACGCATGCAGGAGGTGACAGAGCAAGGCGTATATGTCTGGGGTTGGGCTTTGAGGGGTCGTTTCGAGTTGACTCAGTGGGGCAAAGCGGAGGCCTGTGGCTGTTGTGGAGATCGGGAATTGGGGAGGTTACTGTGATTGACTCAGCGGAGCAGTATATCTATGCTACAGTGAGTAATGGAGGGGAGATTGTTCACTGAATCGTAGTATACGCAGCTCCATCTGTGAGTAGAAGGAGTGGATTGTGGGGGCAGTTGAGCAATATAATCCATGGTTTAGACGGACCAGTATTAATTGGAGGAGACTTCAACACTATCGCCCGCTTGGAGGAAAGAACCGGAGGTAATGGGCAACTATCTACAGATTCTTTGGCTTTCGGGGATTGGATGAATGAGCATTCCCTCATTGATATGGGGTTCACGGGGAATAAATTCACTTGGAAGAGGGGACGTGAGGAGAGGAACTACATTGCCAAGAGACTAGATCGGGTACTCTGTAATCTGCACTCGAGACTACATTGGCAGGAAGCGCGTGTAACCCATCTCCCTTTTCTTGATCATGCACCATTGTACCTTCAACTGGAGCCAGGCGTAAAGGGGGATCCGAGTAGACGGCCCTTAAGGTTCGAAGCAGCGTGGCTAAAGCATGATGGTTTCAAAGAATTATTGGCGAACTCGTGGAATGGGGAAATGAGAACACCTGAGGCGTTGAAAGCACTGAAAGAGAAGCTTCAAAATTGGAACCGAGAAGTGTTTGGAGATGTACAGAAGAGGAAAGAACGCTTAGTTACTGAGATCAAGATGGTTCAGGATCTACTGGAACTGAATCAAACAGATGATTTATTACAGAAGGAAGCCTCTTTACTGATAGATTTCGATGTCGTACTAGCACATGAAGAAGTGATCTGGTTTCAAAAATCTAGAGAAAGGTCGATAGAGCTAGGGGATAGAAATACTAAGTATTATCATACAACCACCGTTGTGAGGAGGAGAAGAAACCGGATTGAAATGTTAAGGGACGCTGAGGGAAGATGGATCTCTGAGCCTAGAGAGTTAGAAAGATTGGCTATTGATTATTATGCTCGACTCTACTCCATGGAGGACGTAGACATGGTGGTGGAAAGATTACCGGCAGAAGGCTTTATGCCTTTGACACGAGAGGAATTAAAAGCATTACAAAAACCTTTCTTACCTGACGAGGTGGAATGTGCAATAAGAAGCATGGGGAAATATAAAGCACCAGGACCAGATGGATTTCAGCCTGTCTTCTACCACGACTGTTGGGAGGTGGTAGGGAGTTCAGTGGTTAGATTTGTTCTGGACTTCTATCAGACATGACAGTTCCCAAAAGGTATGAATGATGCGATCGTGGTCCTTATTGCGAAAGTTTTGAAGCCTGAGAAGATTATGCAATTCAGACCGACCAGTCTCTGCAATGTGTTGTTTAAAACAATTAGTAAAACGATGGTGATGAGACTGAAGAAAGTTATCTCAAAGCTGATAGGCCCGGCTCAATCCAGTTTCATCCCAGGAAGGTTGAGTTCTGACAATATAGTACTGGTACAAGAAGCAGTACATTCGATGAAACGGAAAAAGGGAGGAAGGGGTGGATGCTGTTGAAATTGGATCTCGAGAAAGTATACGATCGAGTACGATGGGACTTTTTAGAAGACATCCTTCAAGCTGCAAGACTTCCTGACTCCTGGGTAGGGTGGATAATGCAATGTGTCTCAGGTCCCTTGATGAACTTATTGTGGAATGGAGAAAAGACAGAAGCTTTTGAGCCTGCACGAGGATTAAGACAGGGCGACCCCCTGTCTCTGTATCTGTTTGTGTTCTGCCTTGAGAGATTGTGTCATATGGTGGAACAGTCGATTGACAAGAAGGAATGGAAGCCCATTTGTATCTCTCGAGGTGGACCGAGCCTATCACATATATGCTTTGTGGATGACTTAATTTTGTTCGCAGAGGCTTCAGTGACACAGATCCGAGTTATACGAAAGGTGTTGGAGAGATTTTGTGTCGCTTCAGGGCAGAAGGTCAGCAAGGAGAAATCAAAGATATACTTCTCTGCAAATGTAAACCATGAAATCAGAACACTTATAAGTGCAGAGAGTGGGATTGGATCTACTCGAGATTTGGGTAAGTATCTGGGAATGCCTGTACTTCAGAAACGGATCAATAAAACCTTTTTTGGAGAAATGTTGGAGAAGGTGGCATCAAGGCTTGCGGGATGGAAGGGACAAATGCTCAGCTTTGCGGGATGAATTACACTAACGAAAGCTGTCCTTTCCTCTATTCTAGTGCATACGATGAGCACCATTGCACTACCAAAGTCGACGTTGAACAAGCTAGATAAGATTTCGAGGTCCTTTCTGTGGGGGGATAATACCGAACCGAGGAAACAACATCTTGTTGCTTGGAAGAAGATATTCTTACCGAAGTGTGAGGGAGGTCTGGGAATTCGCAGTTCGAAGGATATGAATAAGGCCCTGTTGGCGAAACTGAGTTGGAGGTTACTACATGATGAGAAAAGCCTCTGGACAAGAGTGTTAAGAAGCAAATATAAAGTGGGTGGTGTCCACGATACAACATGGCTTAAGGTCAAAGGCAACTGGTCACCAACGTGGAGAAGTATAGCAATGGGAATGCAGGAGGTGGTGCTACCAGGGCTAAGTTGGATCGTAGGAGATGGGCGAACTATTAAGTTCTGGAAGGACAGATGGCTGAACCAGTATCCGCTCCTGGAAGTAACTAATGCAGAGGTCCCCGCAGAGATTGCAGACAGTACGGTATGGGATCTATGGCCGAATGGGGAAGGCTGGATGGGAGCACGCATCATTCCATACATCTCGAGAAATATACAATTGCAGTTAACATCAGTGGTTGTGGATGATGTAATAGGCGCCAGAGACAGAGTGTCGTGGGGCCACACGCAGAATAGGGAATTCACAGTGAAGTCCGCCTACTCGTTTCTCAATCAGGATACTACCCCGCGACAGAACATGAAAGTTTTGTTCGGAAAAGTCTGGCAGGTAATGGCACCTGAAAGAGTGAGAATATTCCTTTGGCTCGTGGTTAACTAGGCTCTCATGACGAACATGGAAAGACAGAGATGTCATCTCAGTGACTCATGGATTTTTCAAATCTGCAAAGGGGGCGAAGAGTCGATACTCCATATCCTACGCGATTGCCCAGCCATGGCGGGTATATGGCATCGGTTTGTCCCAGTGAGGAAGAGAAGCGAGTTCTTCTTGAGATCACTGTTGGAATGGGTGTATGAGAACCTGAGAGATGCGTCGGATGTGGGAGGATGCCCATGGGCTACAGTTTTTGCTATGGCGGCATGGTGGGGCTGGAAATGGCGCTGTGGCAATATTTTTGGTACTAATGCTAAATGTCGGGATCGAGTGCAGTTTATAAAGACTCTAGCAACAGAGGTAGTAGTCGCGCACTTAAGGGTCAAGGGACTAGTTGCTGTACAAACCAGAGTAGAGAGGAGCATTGCGTGGTCCTTACCCGAATGTGGCTGGTGGAAATTGGATACAGACAAGGCATCTCGGGGTAACCCGGGATTAGCTGCAGCAGGAGGAGTCTTGAGACACAAAAATAGGCAATGGTGTGGTGAATTTGCATTGAATATTGGCATATGCTCAGCTTTGTTGGCTGAACTATGGGGTGTCTATTACGGTCTCTATATTGCGTGGGATCATCGCATCCAAAGACTGGAGATTGAGGTTGATTCTGAGATTGTTGTGGAGTTCTTACGGACAGGGATTAGTGACACACACCCCCTCTCCTTCCTAGTACATCTGTACTACGGCTTTCTATCAAGGGACTGGTTAGTCCGCATATCGCATGTGTATAGAGAGGCTAACCGTTTGGCAGACGGATTAGCGAACTATGCTTTTCTTTTACCTCTTGGTTTTCATGCTTTTGAAACTGTTCCTTATAATATTGCTTTGCTGTTACAAGATGATGTAAACGGTTCTCCACAAACCCGTAGTGTGAGACCGTAATAGTTGGATTTTTAAATAATACAATAATTGTCTCCATTCTCTTACCAATAAAAAAAACTTTCATCTTGGCCATTATTTCTCAAATTAAGCCACTACAAACTTCTACATGTAAAATCGTTTTCTCTCTAGTTTCTTTTCACGTAATTTGCCAAAGATATTTCCCAATCCTTTCTTTTGTGATCATAAAAACTCATACTTACATTTTCAATCAATTTCAGAATGCATTTGAGCTAAGTCCACCAATTAGTAATGGAAATTAGTTAATATAGTTTAATTTCGTCACCACTATAATCAGTACAAATATATAACAGGCCCAAGCCCAAGCCCACTACTCTCTCTCTCCCACTCTCTCTATGAAAACGTTCAACGGTCACTTGTGAGCCACAAAACCAAAGCTTAGCGGAGAAATCTGAGGAAACATTGTCTGAGTTTTCAAAATTGTGAAATCGATCGATGCATCAAAGAGGAAAATCCAACAACCGTAGATGAAGGAGCTTCTCTAGATCCAGACTCGCCGTTGAAGGCCACTGAATTCTCCCACATTTCTATATCTCTTCTTGATCGTCTTCTTCCTTCGTTCCCCTTTTCGAGTTTTGTTTTTCCGACGACCTCTCTTAATAATTAATGGCGACACCTTACAGTAAACGTTTTCCTTTTAATATTCTTTTTTTCGAATCTTATGCATCAATCGCACAAATCGAATCTTCTGCTTTTGTTGTTTGTCCTTTTCCTCTAGAAATTGATAAAAATAAATCGGATCATATAATTTTTCGAAAAAAATAATTTTTGTTAGGGCCCTTTCAGGAAATTAATCACGTTGTGAATTGCTTATTTTTATTATATCAATGGATTACTATATTGTTGGAGAAATTAAATAAATAGTAGTGTCTCTTCATTGTTTCCAAGTGTAGAGAGTGTCTCAATCTGTTTTTGGTTATATATAATTGGAACAGAGAAAGAGAGAGATATCCAAAAGAGCTATTGGATGGAGCACTCAAGTGATTTGACTGTTGAGGCTATGATGCTTGACTCCAAAGCTTCTGATCTCGACAAAGAAGAACGTCCTGAGGTATGTTCTACGTTTCACAATCTCAGAATTTAGAACATTTCTTTGGTGTCACTAGTTTGGAATCTAAGGAAATTTGAGGGGTTTTGATTGGTTATAAGTGGTGCATGGATTCTCTTGATGTTTAATGACTAATGAGTTCACTGTTCTTGATCATCTTTCCAAAGTCGTCGCCTTTTTATTGAGTTTTTATAAACAGACCTAAGGAACATGTGACTTATACTGTTGTTCTTGATCATCTTCTAAAAGTCATCGCCTTTTCAGTTGATTATGTTCTATGTTATACAATCTCTGAATTTAGAACATTTCTTTGGTATCACTAGTTTGGAATCTAAGGAAATATGAGGGTTTTAGCTGGTTCTAAGTGGTGGATGGGTTTCATCTTGATGTTGAGGAACATGTGACTTACTGTTATTCTTGATCATCTTTTCAAAGTCGTGGCCTTTTTTTTGAGCTTTTATAAACAGACCTTGTGAACATGTGACTTACTGTTGTTCTTGATCATCTTGTAAAAGTCATCGCCTTTTCAGTTGATACATGAATCTTTTCTGTTCTATTGTTTAACAGTTTAGTGCTTTTAAGTGTTTATATAAACAGAAACTTGGCTGATACGTTATTTGATTTAGGTGCTCTCTTTAATCCCACCGTATGAGGGGAAAACGGTGCTGGAGCTTGGAGCTGGGATCGGTCGTTTCACTGGTGAACTGGCTCAAAAGGCCGGTGAAGTTATCGCCCTTGACTTCATCGAAAGCGCGATTCAGAAGGTTTTTGTCTTTAACTACTTTGATATCTGTTGTTATGCTAAAAAAGTTTTAAGTGTTTTGGATTTGGTTTACCAGAATCTTCCTTTTTGGTGATGTTGTTTCTTGCAGAATGAAAGTGTCAATGGGCATTACAAGAACGTCAAGTTTATGTGTGCTGATGTGACATCACCAGACCTGAAGATCGCAGATGGGTCTGTCGACTTGATTTTCTCAAATTGGTTGCTCATGTATCTCTCTGACAAAGAGGTGAAGATCTGTTTTTTCTTCGTATCCAAACTTATAAAGAGAAGAAAAGTCTTAATCTTTTCGATGGTTTCAGGTTGAACTTTTGGCAGAGAGGATGCTTGGATGGGTAAAGCCAGGTGGATACATTTTCTTCAGAGAATCTTGCTTCCATCAGTCTGGAGACAGCAAGCGAAAATCTAACCCCACCCATTACCGTGAACCAAGATTCTATACAAAGGTTCAATCTTTGGACTTGACCTTCAACTTATGGCAATATCTTTCTGAGACAATCTAGCGTTTTTAGAGGTCAAATCTCAATTATATCTCTCGTTTGAAGGATATTTAAAACGAAGAAGGCGTTCTCTTGTTTTGTACAACAGAATTTGACTTGGTTTTGGGAGTTTCAGTGGAATCTATAAAAGAAGTAACACAATTAGAGTAATTTCATCTTGTACATGACTGAGATCTAGAAGTTTATCTTATGCAAGAAATGTGAGATTAGCCACAAGGAGGTTCTCTTACATATGCTATATATCAAGTTTGATAAGGCTTTTAGACGAGTGTATATCAGTACATAGATTTGTTGAATTTAATGTGTTGGATGAGTTAAGTTCATTCTTTTACATGTGCCAAATTAAAAAATTTATGGTGTTCTGCCAAATTAAAAAAATTATGGTGTTCTGCAGATTTTCCAAGAATGCCAGTCACATGATGCTTCTGGCAATTCATTTGAACTCTCTATGGTTGGTTGCAAATGCATTGGTGCGTATGTGAAGAACAAGAAGAACCAAAATCAGGTGACAAGATTTGCTCTTTATCAGCTTGTCTACTTTGATTGTACCTTACTCATCTCCAAGAGATCATAACTTTAATTATCTATCTGATGGCAGATTTGCTGGATTTGGCAAAAAGTCAGCTTGGAGAATGACAAAGACTTCCAGCGTTTCTTGGACAACGTTCAGTACAAGTCCAATGGGATCTTGCGGTACGAGCGTGTCTTTGGTCAAGGATATGTTAGCACTGGTGGATTTGGTAAGGACATGAGTGCTTGTATGCTTGTGTAAGTATTTGCTCGCCTCTTGTCTCTGAAGTTCTTGTTTGTTCTTAACAGAGACAACAAAAGAGTTTGTGGCGAAGATGGAACTTAAACCGGGACAGAAAGTGCTAGACGTTGGTTGTGGTATCGGTGGAGGTGACTTCTACATGGCTGAGAGTTTCGATGTTCATGTTGTTGGAATCGATCTATCTGTTAACATGATCTCTTTCGCACTGGAGCGTGCCATTGGACTCAAATGCTCAGTCGAGTTTGAAGTCGCGGACTGTACCACAAAGACATATCCTGATAACTCTTTTGATGTTATTTACAGCCGTGACACTATTCTGCATATCCAAGTAAAGCAGAAAAAAACATTTGTTTCACTTCTTGTAATATGACTTTTTGTGAGTAATCAATCATAATCATAATCATCTTGTTGCATCATTTGTCTCTTCTTTTCAGGACAAGCCGGCTCTGTTTAAGACATTCTTCAAGTGGGTTAAACCAGGCGGTAAAGTTCTCATCACTGACTATTGCAGAAACGCTGAAACTCCATCTCCTATATTCGCAGAGTACATCAAACAAAGAGGATATGATCTTCATGATGTTCAAGCTTATGGACAGGTTTGTGTTTTTATTCATAAAACTTTTATGTTTTTGAGGGTATCATGATGGTTAATGAAAGCTTCTTCTTGTAGATGCTGAAAGACGCAGGCTTTGAGGATGTGATCGCTGAGGACCGTACTGATCAGGTGACTCTCACATACACATACATGATAACATGTATACACTTTATTTGTTATAAATGCTGGTTGTAACATAACCATTTTTTCGCAGTTTGTACAAGTCCTGAGGCGTGAGTTAGAGAGAGTGGAGAAAGAAAAGGAAGAGTTCATCAGTGACTTCTCAGAAGTAAGAAACAATTCTCAATACCAATTCATTTGAAGAAAAGTTTTGATGAGTCTTGCTCATGGATCACAAAACCTTGTCAAATGTTTTATTGTATTGCAGGAGGATTATAATGACATTGTCGGAGGATGGAAAGCAAAGCTTGAAAGGAGCACTTCTGGTGAACAAAAATGGGGATTATTCATCGCCAACAAGAAGTAAAATCCAAAATGGTTTTACCCCAAAAACTCTATAACATGTGTCCTCTCGTGATTCTTCTCCCTTAATAAAATTGTTCCTTAAGAGGACAATGCTTGCTTTTGTTTTACTATCTTGTAACAGTAAATCGTAAGAAAAACTGTGTTGTTTCCGGTTTTTTTACTCCAGTCTTTGTGCCTCATAAAATCTGCATTGCTCTGTGCCTTATAAAATATTACTATTAATCACAAGATTCACGATGGCAAGAAAATGACTCAAAAGATCAGAAATTTCAGTACAACGATGAACATTTGCACTTGGACGAAGTGACGTCGTTTGGGTATTCGGCGAAACAGTGGGTTTGGGCCTATTGTAATTGGGCCCTCCCCCAATATTCACCAATCTTCCTCCTGAGTGAGTCATTGTCGTCCTGCTCGGAAACTGGACACATTTTCCGGCGGCGATTCGTCGTAAGACACCCAATCGTCAACCAACTTGGCCTGCGACATCATTTTTATAAGAGTCTGTGGATCAAACATCTTAACCCAGGCCTTAATTTTTGGTTTCAGCCCGGTCACAAACAACATTTTTAACACGTTTTCCGGAAACTCCGGCGCTTTAGAGGCCAAGGCGACGAACTCCTCACAATAGCTCTTCACCGTATCTTCCTGGCGTAGCTTCATCAATCGTTCTCCCGCCGTCGTGTCACGGGATGTGGCGATCTCCTCCAAGACCCAAGTTTTCATCTGGTCCCAACTGAGAAAAGGATTACGCGCTGTCTCACACCGATACCAGAACAGAGTTTCATCATCGAAGCTCATCCTCGCCGCCTGTAACTTTTCCTCCTCCGTGAAGCTGCCAAGGTCGAAGTACTCCTCCACCCTGAGCACCCAGCCCTCGGGGTTTTCACCATCGAAGAGAGGTATCGACAGCTTGCGCATCAACACACTGAGTCGACTCATCTGCTTCTTCATCTCTTCCAGGTTTAACTCCATGGAAGCGATCTTCCCAACATCCTTTTGCAGGACCTCCACCGTTTTCTCCAGTTCGGCGATCTTCGATGGAGCCATCTTCTCCGCAGATTCGTTTGCTCTGATACCAGCTTTGTAAAACGTGTAAAGTAGCCTAATAAGGAAAAAAGATACTGCTTGATATTAATTGAAATATATGGTAATGTTTGGCTCTTTAGACCATCTTTACTTGTGTGATATCAGTTTTATCTCAATTGTTGGCTTTGCTCTTAAGAGTTAAGCACAAGTATATGTTGTTGGTCACCGGTTCAGTTGGATCAAGATAAAATGGAATCAACATTTGCTTCACCAGTAGTCTCCACAAGAACATGAACCATCCTTAAAATGGTGAAACCTGTTATTATCCCTCAGAATAATCAATCTCCCTGTGATTTTCGCCATATACTTGATGGCATTATGACAGTCCTCACACACACGCAGATTCTTTATCACGCGGATTGGTTTCCCTGGAGACACACGCATTATCCCATACGCTACTGCGAGTCTTTCGCTATGGTACCGAACCATACGCTCCTTCTCTTCCTCTTCCACATCATGAAGAACCACACTCGTCTTCGAAACATACCCTGCTTTCTTCATCCTCAGATCAAGATCCTCCAAAAACGCATAGATCTCGTCTTTCTCGGGATGTAACTCATCCCCAACCGAGAACGTATGAGTCTCGTTCTGAATCTCAATCCAACTGTACCCTGTAACTTTCTTCACCCCTTTGTCCCGCATTCTCACTCGCAGTTTACCCACATCTCCCCATCGACCGGAAGAAGCGTATAGGTTGGAGAGAAGCACATACATTCCGGAATTTTCAGGCTCCATTGCGAAAATCTTATCTGCAGCTGTTTCAGCTAGCTCTGTGTTTCCATGGACTCTGCTTGCACCGAGTAAAGTTCCCCATATTGCACCGTCTGGCTCAAAGGGCATGTTTTTCATTAGACTGTGAGCTTCTTCTAGAAGACCAGCTCGACCAAGAAGATCGACCATACAAGCATAGTGATGTGAGTTAGGAGTTACGCCATAGTCTTGAGTCATCCTGTAGAAATATTGCCTTCCTTTGTCCACAAGTCCTGTGTGACTGCACGCAGATAATACCGCAACCTGTAACAAGAACAAGAACTGGCATGTGAACAGAAGATAACACCTAAGATATATGCAAAGAGATATGTTGCTTCTTTCTTTACCATAGTAGCATCATCAGGCTTGAGTCCTTCTCTCTTCATCGACTCAAAGAACCTTAAAGCCTCTTCTCCGAACCCGTGCCTTGAATAGCCTGAAATCATCGTATTCCAAGAGACAATGTCCCTCCCAGACATCTCCTCGAACAAGTCATTGGCTTCTTCTATGCTTCCACATTTGCAATACATCAACAAAAGCGCGTTCCCAACAAAGCACCCAGTCTCATACCCGCCTTTCACCAGTCGTCCGTGCAATTGCTTCCCGAGCTCAAGAGCAACAACGTCTGCACACGTGCTTAGAGCAGATGAGAACGAAGACCGGTTCAACCTCCCGCCTTCTCTCTCCATTTGTACAAACAAACGCAGAGCTTCATAGCCATGTCCGGTTTGCGAATACCCTGCAATCATAGCAGCCCAAGAAACCGGATCTCTCTTAGGCATTTTGTCAAAGAGGTTCTTGGCTTCAGAGACATCGCCGCACTGAGCATATCCAGTTATCATCGTGTTCCAAGTACTAACATTTCGAAAAGGCATAACATCGAACAATTCCTTCGCCATCTCCATTCTCTCGCCCTGCACATATCCTGCAAGCATCGCATTCCACGATACTTCGTTTCTCTCCGGCATTTTGTCAAATAACTCTCTCGCTTCTTCCACCATTTTGTTCTGTACATATCCTGACACCATTGCTGTCCACGTAAAAACGTCTCGAACAGGAGACTCGTCGAATAGCTTCCGCGCCTCATCGATCTTCCCGTCCTGTGCATAACCACTGATGATCGTATTCCATGAAACCACATCTCTCACATTCATACCGTTAAAAAACTTTCTTGCCTCGACAATCTTCTTCTTCTTAACAAACCCACCAAGCAAGCAGTTCCAAGAAACCAATGCCCAATTCTCTCTTGACTCAAACAATCTACAAGCTTCCTCCATCCTACTGTTCTGCACATACGCAGAGAGCAATGCGTTCCACGATACTTCGTTCTTCTGAGGCATTCGATCAAAAACTCTCCTTGCCTCATCAACACACCCGTTCTGAGCGTATCCAGACAATATCGTATTCCACGAACAAACATCCCTCTCAGGCATTCTCTCGAACAACTCCCTCGCTTTTTCAAGATTCCTGTTCCGCACATACCCTTTGATCATCACATTCCATGAAACAAAATCTCTCTCAGGCATTTCGTCGAACAGTTTCCTTGCGGTTTCAAACTCGCCGTTTCTCAAGTAGCCAGAGATCATGGCGTTGTAAGATACTGAGCTCCACCTAGGCATGCGCTCGAAGACACGAAGCGCTTCGTCGCACCTTCCATTGCGCATGTAGCTGCTTATAGCTACATTCCACTGTTTTATATCCGCGTCCCCAGATTTCAGGAGAGGTTTACTCTGCCGGTTCTGGATTTGGGTTTGATTTCTTTTCGTTGAAGAGTGAAAATTTTCTTCACCGTTCGCTTTGGATGTTGATTTGAGTCCATTGAAGGAAGATGTATGTTGCTTCTGAGCTCTCCACGAGAGAACGCAAAGCTCTTCTAGCCGTTTGTTCCCGCGCATCGCATTGATCTTAGGAACAGAAGGGTTTATATAATTACTGATTCTGGAATATTGATCTCTGGGTCTACCACCGGAGAAGCTGCTTACGCCGCCGTGTAAATTGAAAGAGAAACCGAAAATAAATGCCGCGAAGAGTAACAATGAATTTTAAGTTTGCTAGTCACTCATAGTCATAGACAATGAACAATAATTGAAACAGTCCCCTTCTTTTTTTGGGATCAAAATAGTCCCCTACTTTTTCTTTGGATCAAAATAGTCCCATTTTTGTTTTACATAAATTGAAACAATATAAAAAATGATACTCAAAGATATCACTTTTATACATCTGTATAAGATTCAACTGTAAGAGATTGTTGAGAGAGAGTTCCCCAAGCTAAGTATAAAAGAGGTGGTGATTGAGATACTAATCTATGATTGGAGAATACAGAGCAATCAATCAATGGCTAAGTATAAAAGTCAATTTGTTCCATGGCTTTGTCGATGAGCAGCACGTGACTCCCAGAAGAGCCTAACGGTGGAATAGATGAGAGAAGGCTCAGCCATTGCGCCGTTACCGTAATCACCACAAGCCAGTTTCTTCGTGATGGGAGGAATGAGAGTGATTCCAAGTTCATCGAGCAACACAAGGTGCCGTTCTGTGAATGGGTTGTTCCACATCAGAGTGTTCATCGACGGTGCAACAAACAACGGTTTGTTATAGTCCCACGCTCTTACAATACATGTCAATAGATTATCACACAACCCACCAGCAATCTGAAAAGAGAGAAAGTAGTGTTTTTTTAGATCATGAAGAAGCCAAATTTGCACGTGGTTCTATTTCTCAATGGCAAGAATATGACTCAAAGATCAACAATTTCAGTAGAAAGTTAAACCTTTGAATGGTGATCAAAAGAGATGTATGTCTAGATCATGAGAATGCAAACAATCTCCAGAATTGTCAACTCTATACCCTTAGGATCTTGAAAAATGCAAAGAATATGGAGCCAAAGAGCTCAATATCTTCAGATACTCTAGACTATAGCAGTCACTATGCATATATGTTTAGTTACTCTAGACTATAGCAGTCACTATCAAACAATGTTGTAATGCAACGATAAACCTTCGAATGGCGTACTTATGTGCTCTTTCAAGAGAGAATCATGTAAATGCAAACAATCTCCAGAATCGTCAATTCTAGATCAAGAGAACATGATAATTAGTAACACTATTAGCGATAATTATATGATCAAGAGACTGCACTATATCTTCAGCTACCTTGGCTATGATTCTATGAGGCAAAAGAGCTACTCTAGAGTCCAAGAATATATTTTTCAAGTGGAGATACAAAACAACGGAAGATACAATTTACCTTGCCCAATGTGTTTGCAGACAAAGGAGCAATGATCATAACATCAGCCCAGCGTCTGAGCTCGATGTGAAGCACCGGATCACCAATCTTCTTCCAGCTACACCACTCATCTTCGTCTGTATAGAGAGTCACTTCTTGAGGAAGAGAAGGCTTATCCAAGAAACTCAGTGATGATTTTGAAGCTACAGCTTTCACTTCTGCCCATTCTGAGAAACAATGGCAGAGATTACTGAACTTGATTGCAGCCACACTTCCACTCGCAGCTAGTAATATACGAGGCTTCCTTGTTACTGTATCCACTTGCATATTATCTCTAAATCAAGAAGCAGGATCAATTTTATACACCGTCGATTTAATGAAACCCAGAAATTTTGGTTCCGATTAAGCCGACAACAACAACAACGTAGTGTCAGTATCTTACATGAAGCCGATCAAACTAGGAACAAACGATCATCATCAATGAAATCAGAAACGAAACAAGAGATTCGATGGAATTAATTAAGCTTATTGTTACAGCCGTTACCTTGATAAGACGAGGAAGGAGGATCTGCGAAAAAAACCCTAATTGAAGAACAGAAGGAGAAATTGAAATCAAATGCCGCGAGGAATAAAAATGGTGCTACGTTTGAAATAAAAGACAGAAGTCGACGTCATCACTCATCTCTTAACTCACCGGGGTCAACCTGGTCGTTGCCTCGCCATAAATGGGCCTTTACCAACAAGAAACCGATACAATCCAGCAAACCGTATTTATTTTCTTGGTCAATACAAACCGATTTAAGGTCGGGTTCGATCAAATATCGACGGTGACCCAATCACCCTGCGAGTTACGAGTTCATAATTTTTAATTTTGAACCTTTTTTAACACTAAATTATTATTTTTATGTTTTGTAGTTTATATAACTTATCCAACAACCCCGAAACGGGCGTAAAGTGAGCCCAAATTAAAAATACAAAGTGTGTCTTATCTCAAGAAAACCCTACAACAAAACTGGCCCAACTGACAAAGAGGCCCAAAAATAGAAGAGGCAGGCGAGGGAGAAACCCTAATTGGCGACGCCGCCGCCGAAAAGGAGAAACTCACCACCGTGACCTCCGGCAAATTTGAGCATTTTTCAGAACAAGGTTTTAAAGCATTGAGATCTTTTAGGTGTCTAAGTTGCTAAAACTTCCAGAAGCAAAATCCCCAAAAAAGGAACACAAGGTTAAAAAATTCATGACGACAGAGATAAGTAGCAATTCAATTCAGAACAAAGAGTTTTAAACGCAAAAGTGTAACTTGCCCATGTCACAGCTACACGAAATGTATCAGCAAAGATTACGAACCATTAACGCTAACTGTTTTTCTCTTCTGGTACCATCCCTACAAACAAACCTAAATTGAACATCAAACATCAACCAAATCAGTTTTCCTCCAAACAAATGTTTTCCTAATTTTCCCCTAAAAACACACCCATAACATTCTTCTCCATTATCCGTGGTAGATTAATCAAATCAGCTTCTACATTCCATTCGCTATCTCTTGGACCTCCTCGATTGCTGAAACTGCTATTTTCAACTTATCTGCAGCTTGCTTCACTTTCCTTTGCTGCAACATTTGACATTCATTAAACATTTATCATAAGATTCATCTTTCTCTTTACTTTTTCAACTAGAGACTTGTAATGGAAACCCAAAACCCATCTTTAAAACTAATCAAATCATCTTTCAATTTCCTCCAGCTCGTCTTCTAAGCGGAAACTACATAATGTACAGTCATGTTGAATCTATTTCCTAGTATCCTTTTGTGATCCCTCACCAGCATAATGTATAAACCAAACTGATGCAAGGATGGTGTGACCATGAAGACAGTAATGTAAACCAATACCAACCATAAAAGCTAAGTGGGATAATTGACTTACCAAGAGTGCGGCTTTTTTCTTGAGCTCTTTAGGATCTGCAGCTTCCTGCCCAGTAGTAGCTTCTGTCGCCTACATGCGTGAAAAACCGATTTTGACATAAGTATACAGTTTTGTATAAGCATGGTTATGTGTTATCTGAACTATATACTTGTACTGTACAAACTTCATATGTGGTGATAACCACTGACCAAACAGACCAACAACTTTAGACACAAATAATCTTTAGGAAATACACCAAACTTCAGATAAGATACACTGACCAAACATTCACATCTTTTCAAAGATTTTGACATTAAACACATACCACATCAAAGACCATAGACGAACAACACATTACTCTTATGAATTTTTGCATTTTACGTAGAAGAAACAAACAGCCAAGGATAACCATGAACTTAGGTATAAGACTTTATGCTACACAATTCTTGACATTTTGTCTATAAATAGAAGGAACTTAAAAGAGAAATACCTTCTTTGGCCTGCCCACACTCCTCTTGCTAGCAACTTCTTCAGATTTAGGTTTCCGTCCACGTTTCTTTGGTGGAGCCGCCACAGTAGCAGCTGGAACAGTTCTAGCCGCCACGTCAGCTCTCTTTGGCCTCCCACGCTTTCTAGAACCATCTACAGTAGCAACCGAAGACTCCGTCACAGGCAGAGTGTTCGACCTCTTGGGCCTACCACGGCCGCTTTTCACAACCGCCGCCGGCGCAGACGCAGTCGGAACAGCTGCTGCTGCTGTAGCTACGCTTCTTTTCGGGCGACCGCTGGGTTTTCTTGTCGGCTGAGCTGAAACGGCACCGTTTGGCTGGGAGTCGGATTTGGGCTTCGGTGGTCGACCACGGCCGCGTTTCTGAGTAGCAGTCGCGGCTGAGACGCCGGTGGTATCAGGTTGAAGTTGGTTGTCACGCGCATCTCCGGTTAAATCGGATCTTGGAGGTTCGAGACCAGTTCCGTGAATCGCGGGAGAAGTGTCAGATCCTTTCGCCATGAGAAATCTAGATTCAAATCAGAAAAGGCGCTTGTGAAAACGGCGGTCAACGGAATCGAAACCCTAGAAAAACGGGCTTCAGTGGAGACTTAAACTAAACAAATACAAACTCGATTTCGTTAAAAGCTTAAAGAAAATTCGATGTTAAAAACCCAGAATCTAGAGATGAAAGACAGTAAATATCAGATTCAGGCTTTCTTGTAGCAGTACGGAAGAAAATTCATTTTCCGAAAAGCTAGGGTTCGCAATGCACGTACCTTGTTTGTTCAGGAAGAGGAGGATTTGCGAATGAGATTCGGAAGAACGCTCGAGAAACTGGAGGAAGAAGATTAGATATAGGAACGAGAAACTTCGCTAAGAAGAAAGATGGGAGATGGTTTCACGGTTACAGGATGGTCACCATGGCTAGAGCTTGGAGAGCGAAAACGAACGACCGAGAGGTTCAGAATCAGTTGCGTCAACTGGTACGGGTCCACCTGGAGTCGTTCTTTTAAATTATCAACAAATTCTATAAAAAATCTGAAAATTAATTTACAGACTGTAAGATTTAGGAGTTTCTGGATTATTTATTTAATTTGTTTGGTTCTATAGATTCTTATAATCGCCAGCTGAAAACGAAGAAACCTAATTTTTTGTACATACATGGTATTTCTTTTATCTTTTCTTTATAATAAGTTAGTAAAACCAAAACTCCATTGAAAATTACCCCTACTTTTTTTTCAAACTCGAATCGTTTGGAGGAAAATAAGATTTGAATTTGGAAATGGTTAAAATGTCTGAGTGAACTCAGTGAAGAGTAAAACCGTTCTACCCACCTTCTACCTAATTTCTGCAGTAATTACTCAAGCCAGTTGAAAACAAGAAACTTGTAATTTTGGTACATACATGGTTTTGAGATTTTCTTAAGACCTTTTTTATTCTAAAAAGTAAACAAAACCAAAGCTCCATTGAAAATCACCCTACTTTTTTTTGAAATTCAAATCTTTTTGGGGGAAAATATGGTTGGAAATGGTAAAAGCCTAAAAGGTGTGACTGAAGAATAAAACCGTTCTACTTTCTACTTAATGTTTGCAGTAATTACTTACACCAGATTTCGAGCTTTAAACAAAGCAAACTTAACATAAAGCAACGTCAAATTAAATGGCATAAAGATAAAAATACTGACATAACGTAAGAAACTAAACAAAACCATCATAAAAGAGGTCATATAAATAACATAGCGTTTTTGAGTAACATCAACTCCTAAAAAAAGTCTAAAGAGACCAAATAAAAGAAGAGAACATAGTCTAATAAAACATGAGGTACAAAGCAAAAGCCTACACAGATATGGACGATGGAGAGAATGAAGAAAGAAAGAAAAAGAGATGGTACATGAACAATGGCAACATCCTAAATGACTTTACAGACATTACCCTACCTCTTCTTGTTGTTTGGTTAGAGACACAATCATCATCTTTTGGTTTTTTTTCTCTCCTGCAAACACCCTTATAAGATTAAAAAAAATCCATTGAACACAACAACAACCATACCCACCATCTCATCACAAACTGCTAGCTCATTAGAACAGAGCTTCCTGCATAGCCTCTGCATCCGTCTGTCCTTGTCCCTGTCCTTCTGCCTCTCCTTGTCCTTCAGCTTGTCCTTGTCCCTGTCCCTCAGGTTCTGGATCAGTCTCGCGGTGTTGTTCATCTGCCAGCATTTCTTCCATGTGCTGTGGCTCGTCTGTTGTCTCTCTTGTCACAGTTGTTGCCACTGTTGTTGTTACTGTTAACCCTTCCAGCTCTTGAATGGCTTGAACCACTGCTTGGTTCTCACTTCCTCCGATCTCAGCTTTCAACACATTAACAATTCCCTTAGCTTTCTCTTGCTGCATAAAGGAGAAGACCAGAAACATCGTAAGAATGGGGAATTTTGGAATTTAAAAGACAAAGAAACAAAAAGAGGATCATATAATGTTTTTGTTCATTAATCGACTTACAAACAATTCAAACTTCTCCTTGAGTTCACCATAGCCAGCATCTTGTTGTCCAGAAGCTCCCCTAAACATAGCATTCTGTGTTTGTAAAAAGGCAAGAAAATAGATGTAAGTATGAAAACTCAGAAAATAGATGCAAGTATGATAGCTCATCAATATAATAGTTAACAAAATCTAGAGGACAATTAAGAATAACGGAACTATTTGAAAACACACAAATTCTTGATTTGATATAATAGTTCTTGATTTAAAGATTTGATACAATAGTTAACAAAATCTAGATGACAATCAAGAACAACAGAAAGATTTGAAAACACACAAATGTTTGAACTTCGATTAAATAACCAAATTTCTGTTTTGAAAACAAAAAAGCACCGAAACCTAAATCCCTAAGTAAAATCTAAACAATTATTGCAAGCTAAAGCGAGCCGCCGACCAGTTGCTCTTGATTACCAAACAAAGAGAAATCTTAAATTAATAATAGTACACCAAAAAAACCAAATAAGCATAGACCAAAAGCAGAGACACGAATATATTTATACTGTAGAAACTATTTAGATACTCTCTACCAGCAAACTCGAAAGAGACAATATTCAGAGTGGAAAGTGACATTTATTCACAAGACAAAAGTTCCAGCTTTTTCTCCTGTCTATTTGACTCAGGACATTGAAATATCTAGCTCTATAATAACCTCGGGCTTTAAGAATTATCACTATAAGATAACGGATAAAAATTATACCTTTCTTGGTCTTCCCACGGGTCTTCCAGAACGGAAATAGCCTCTCTGGGGCTTCATAGCCTTCCTGATCGCACCTCCGATCTTAGGAGGACGTCCTCGTCCTCTCTTCGCAACCACGACTGCGACATCATCTCCTCCAGTCTCTGCGTTAGGTGGCGGTGGAGGTGGCGCAACATAGGAAGCACCGGTGTCAACCCTCCTCGGTCTCCCACGGCGTCTGACACCGCCGTTAGCAACGTACGGGATCACCGAAGGCGGAGCTGAGACCACTGCAGGCTTCCTCTCCCTCCCAGCAGCCCTTCCACTCGGAGGACGGCCTCTTCGTTTCGCAATTTCCACGCCGCCGGAAACAGAAGCCCTCGCTGTCGGCGAAGATCCATCTTTCCTAGGACGACCAGGTGGTCTCTTAATCAGCGGCTGCGGCTGAATCTGAGACTGCGGCTGGATCTGAAACTGAGGCTGAATCTGAGACAGCGGCTGGGCCTGAGCCAGAGCATGAGCATGAGTCTGCGGCTGCATCTCCTCCTCCGGTCGAGAGAGAGGTGATTGGTTTGGTACCCAGGCGGATTTCCCGTTACTCTGGAGAACCTCGTTGGGTTGAACATCGGGTTTTGGCTTTGGGGGTCGACCACGACCACGCTTCTGCGTCTGAGGAGTAGAAGTCGGCGCCGGATCAGGTAAAGGTTGGTTCTCGACGACCACGTTAGTCATGAAATCAGATCTGGGATGTTCGAGACCAGCAGCTGCAGCCGCAGCCGCAACGGCTACGCTAGTCGGAGGAGTAGGGGCTGCGAATTTGTAGGACTTCTTCACCATCGTAAGGACACCATTGTTCTTCAGACTCTTGAGATGGTGCGTCATCAAAGCGCCATGGGCTTGAGGTATCCCAGAGTAACCTCTCTCGATGAACCTCGAAATCGCTTGTTTGCTTGAGCCGTCGGGTTCGTTCAGAGCCGCAATCGCCGAACAAATCATCTATCAAATCACACAGAAAAGGAAATTCAGTCACTGAAATTAAAAAAAAAAAAACCCTAGATAAGTCAAAATGTTGAAATTCTCAGTTCGGGAACTCAGATGAGCTTACGTCGGCGTAAGGAGGGTGTTCATTAGATTGTTGAGGAGCTGGTTGCGGCGGCGGCTGAAAGAACTGGTTGTTCATTGGCGGCGCGACGGCGGAGTTGTTAACGGCGCCGGTGAAGTAGGTGTGTTGAGGAGCGGCGAAGGGGTTGGGGTTGTTGAAGGGAGGAAAAGTGGTGAACGATGTATGATGCGGATCATTGGATACAGAAAGAGAAGGATCCATGGATTTAGAGAGAGAAAACAGACGAAGTTGATGAGATTTTGATTTAGGGATTTTTTTTCTTTTTTTGCTCTTTTAATTTCAACGAAATTAAATTCTGGTGGAAGGAGGAGATAAAAAAAGTTAGGTTTGAGAGAGAGTGTGTGTAGAGAGAGATGCAAATGACGAAAGGTGGGAAGTGCGAGTAGTTGAAATCTGACCGTTCAAAGTGTCTTTTGGTGCCGATTTATACACACGGATCGATGACATGGCACTCCTTTTTTATGAAATTGTGTTTTGTGTTTCTTTGAATTATTTTTCTTCCTGTATAAAAAAAATCGTATTAGGTAATACTATGAAAATAAGTTTCTAACTTTTATATTATTTCCTAGATATGTATTCATAATATTTCTACTTTTCATAGATTCTACTTAAAATGTAAGATTTATTGTTAATTTTAACTTTGAATTGAATAAAAAACATATAGTCAAAAATATTTATTGTTTTAAATTATTTACATTTCAAACAATTGAACAAGTAATTTGTTCCACATATTTTTATATTTTGTTTTGTGTTTCTTTGACTTTTTTTTTCTTCTTACTAATTAAACCGTAGTAGGTAATATTATAAAAATAAATTTCTAATATTTATATTCTTTCCTGCATATATTCATAACATTTCTACTTTTTACAGATTTATATCTAAAATGTAAGATTTAGTGTTATCTTTATTTTTGTATTAAATTAGAAAATATCCTATAGTCAAAAATATTTGTTGTTTTAATTTATTTACAACTCAACAAGTAATTTGTTCCACATATTTTTATTCTTTATTATTTAACACATTGTTTTATGTTTTATATTGTGTTTTGTATTTCTTTGAATTTGTTTCTTCTTAATATTAAATTATATTAGATAATACTATAAAAATAAATTTCTAATTTTTACATTCTTTCCTACATATATTTATAATATGTCTTCTTTTTATATATTTCTACCTAGAATGTAAGATTTATTGTTATCTTATTTCACGTTGAATTAGAAAACATCCTATAGTCAAAAATATTTATTGTTTTAATTTATTTGCATTTCGATCAACTGAACAAGTAATTTGCTCCATACATTTTTTATTCTTATCTTTTAACACATTGTTTATTCTTATTTTTTAACACACTAGGGATTGTTGCGCGCTACGCGCGGATTGTAAATTATAATTTTTTTTAATATAAATTAGATAAGATCTAAAATCATGGGAATAAATTAAAAAAAATGTAAACTCAAACTAAAAAATATTTTGTATTTTGATTATTTGTAAGTGTAATTATCTAATTTGCTAAGAAATATATATTTCAGCTAGTTGTGCATTTTTATGAGTTACTTATCCTACATTGATTATGTTTAATTTTGGGTTAGACATTTTATTCAAAACCTTATTTGGAGAATGATCTAGTTTAGAAAATGGTGTGTTTATATTAAAGTTATTATCTTGGTTTAAAATATAAGGTTAGAACTTTGTATCTATTTATATTTAGTGTCTTTGAAAGTATCTATCTTGTTTTACAGTTTTGATATAAAAATTTGTATAATATTATTTTGTATAATACAGTTCTTCGATATGATACAATTCTTCTATATAAGTATAGGGTTTGATCCACGCTACTAATAATTATTTTTAATATTTTAAATATAATATCCTACTTATATAATAATTGTTTGAATGTAATGTGATAAATTTATAAGATAATTTTTATAAATTGCTTATGATGCATTTGAGAATAGTGTTATTTTATATGAAATATTATGTAATTATCTATTTTTTTGTATGGTCTTTGTTAGTTGTTTCTTTTATATTTTAAACAGTAGGAGAATTATAATTATGTTTTATGTATTTTTTGTTTGCTGTGTGTGTGGAAGTTATAAGTAGTTATTTTTCTTTTGTGTTGTAATAGAAAGTAGAAGCGAATGAGTGAGAATTTGTTTATTTGTTTGCATTTTGTTCTTATTTTATTTTGTAATTAGAAGTTTGAACACAAATTTAAATGCAAAAACTTGATAAAATAGACATAATTTTTATGAATCCTTCTTTTGTCTTTTTCAATTGCTTATTTTTATCGTGAGAAGGTTATGAATTTTAAAATTCCCTTTAAAGTTCTAATATTTGACTCGTTTACACAAAAAAGCAAACAATCCAAGCAAGTTTAGCAGGGCAAACACATATAACTTCATCGAATCTTCGACTGGCAAAAAATATATTTCCCTGGATATTCGGTGACCTATAATTTGTGTAGATGAATAAAACAGCCAGCCTCCAAAGCTTGGATACATCTCACATAGAACGGTATGTAAGCTTACACTTGTGATCATGGTCGTATCATGGCAATTTTCTCTGACAGTTTTGGAAAGGGAAACTGGAAAAAATGTTTAGCTTTGTTACAATGATTTGATGAGCAGATTATGAAAGAGCATAACTAAAACAGGTGATTAAATAGCAGAATTTATCTATACAAGATGTAGTAAAAGGAAGAAGTTCATAACAGGGGACGCCATATCCAACATTGTCAATTATTTAAAACCGACCATTTACGAAAACATGAGCTTTCGTCAAGTTTTTTAGCTCACCCACAAAAAGACATGTTTAGAAAGTAATCCAGATTACACTATCTCTTCTACACTGTTTCTTATCTTAAAATAAATGTATACTAAACGAAGATAAAACGCCATTGAATATTAAGATAGTTAAGAAAAAAATCACAAAGATATTAGAAACACAGTCGGCGCAAATTTATTGAGTGAATGAAGGAATTTTAAAAGAGAGATCTCAGTTTTGTGGAAAAATTAATGATACAATTTTAAAAATGTTTTGATTCTTACTTGATCCCATAATGCCTCATTGAGATCAGTTTTACTCAAACGATGCCTCTGCATAACAACATAAACCCAATAAACCGGATGCACAAAACAACATGATGAATTCAATATATATATATATATGTCATACCAATTTCAGAAACTCATAATATGAAACAATGTATCTTACCTTTCAGCAGCCTGACTTCTCTTCTAGCAGAAGATAATGAAAATATGTTAATAAATTATCTGATGGAATTTAAAAATGAGAGTGGAAAACTGAGGAGGTGGAAAGGAGCTTAAGAAAAAGATTATGGCTTTGTGGAAGACGATGGGCTTAGTTTAGGGATGAGTCTCTGTTTTAAATAGGGTTTTGTGGCATAAAATTTTTAGGGGGAGCCGAAGAGGTGTTTTCTGAAATTGATTGCGAGAATTATACATGTTGGCGTGGGAAATCAAAGGTTACATTAGATATATTTGAAGGGCTTTAATTGTTAAGAAGCATAAGTAGATTTTGTTGGGCTTAGACGTGTTTTAGGAAGAGCTGATTAGAAGTGATTTACAATGAGAAGGTGCTGATGTGGCATGATTTTGGAGCATTTTGTCTTTGTTGTGTCTTGTAGTCAGCATTTTCTGGTTTTTTTTTTCTTCGGGTGGTTTGTGGTCATTTTGGAGAATTGATATATGGTGTTTGTAGTTTTCGTTAAAGGGGAAGCTCTTTATTTTGTAATTCAATAATTTGTGCTAATTGCATATTATTGATTAGTGTTAATTGATTTATTTGTTATTGAGAATCGTAAATTGGGGAGTGATATTATGTTGTCTTCTGTGAATTTGTTAAGTAGTATTTCTCATATCATTTTTTCTCTTATTTTTATTTGTAGTTTATTAGGAAGCTGTTTTGAAAAGTATCCAGATTTGTTTCTTCATTTTAATGATTAAAGATTTTGTTAATCGTTTGTTAACTATAGAATACAATATTTAGCACCTTGACAGGATTGTCAATTATTATATTGTTGGAGTGATAAAGATCATCATCACGTACATATAAAGAGATTATAGGATGAAAATAATTTTCGGTGCTGTAGGTTTTCTGCAATTTAAATTATTTAAAATATGTAATTGAGGAAGTATTCGGTCGCCTGGTTTATATAGTCAAGTGTTACGCGAAAACATGTTTGTTTTGTATGCAATTTTTGTTTTACTTGTTTGAGACAGAAATGAGTTATTTTATAATGGGCTGTTACAGATATGTTTAATTAATATAAATTATTGGTTTTTAACTTGTTGATTTTTTATTTTTATTTTTCAAGTTTTAGAAACTGATGCCACGTGGCATTGTGGGAGAGAGTTTTTTTTGCTTAGGTGGATAGCCTAAGAAGCCCCAAATAGTCCCTTTTATTTAGTATAGATTGTGTCCTGTTTCTGTATTTTTTAGATATTTAAAAAAATAACACAATTGAATAGTTTTATTTATATAATTTAATGTTAGTTTTCTGATTATGTTATTTTTATGAAATATTGTTATGCTTTGTCATTATATTACTTTTATGAAATATAGTTTTTCTGGCGACTTTATTATAAAGAAAATTACAAAACTATAAATATTTATGAAAATTTAACATAACTTATCAAAAATTATTTATCAGTATTTTTATTTTGAACTAGCTTTTAATATTTTTATTCAAATGTGTTTGATTTTACGAATTATTTTATGTTTGGTAACAACACTTATGATTTATAGCGTTCGAGTTTTATTTAATTCATAATTTTAAATACAAAAATAAAAAAAAATTAACGTTCAAATAAAAAGATAAAAAAATTATTAGTATAATAAACATTTTCAATATAAAAAATTCTAGATATAACAACCGAAAATGCGTATAAAATAACTAAAATGTGTATAAAATTAACTATTTAATAACATTGACAATCATATGGATAAAGTTATTAACTTATTCATTGACATAAACAACATATGTCATCAAAAATGAAACCATATATAAAGAATAGTGAATTTAAAATGAATAATGTAAAGTATAACAATTATAAAAACATATAACGAATAAAACTTAAACACAAAATGAAAAAAACAAATAGAAAATAATGAAACCAATTTAGTAACAATTGCAATCTAAACTTTAAGTGAGCAATAGTGAATATATATGAAAATAACGA